TCGAATTTTAAAAATAATTTCCGATTATTGAGACTGTAACAAATATTCGAAAAATCGCTGGCATCCCTACTAGTGAGCATCTCAGAACACACCAAGAGGAAGGCTTCTATTTCACACATGCCTACCCCTGAGGATTGGTACTTAAGTAAATGAATGTGTAAGTATTGTGTGAAATTAATGCAAAGTCATATTAGACTTAGCAGGTATTGTAAGTTAACACCAGTGACCAGAACCTAAGAGTTGAATAAAATAAATGTAAATGTGTTTATCGGCTTTGAAATTAAAATAATTTCCAGGTTCCTTTGTATAGTGATAATGTGTACCTGAATCCAAATGCAAGGTTAAATAACAAAACATTTAGAAGTAAAACTAACCAGAAAGTCACACTCTTCATCCAGAGCATACTTGGTGAGGATTTCCAGCCAGGCCATTTCAACCAGTTTGTCTAAAGACACTGTGTTGTGGTGAATCATCTCCAGGACCGGCTTCTCAAACCACTTGGGATATTCCTCGTCAAGCCTGTACACAGAAAAATGGTCAGCAGATGTTTTTTTAGAAGCTAGCATATGAATAAAAAGTGTAATAAAGTTTGTGTCATAATGCTCCACTTTTTTTCTCCAGTGATAATTACCCACAGTTTAACACCAGGACAGGAGCATTACATAACAGGGCAACAAAGGGTTGAGAGTGACCAGTAGGGGGAGTAAAATCTCTTGACTGATATAATTAGCATGGCTTAAATACAGCCCATGATCCTAGGTGACTTGAGCTTTGGGCAGCTGAGCAATGCTTTGCCTTTACTGTGACATCTGCTTGGGCCACATGAAGGGTTTGTTCACCTTCCTCTTGCTGAAAGCACATACACATACAGTATTTGTAGACCTGTATGTTGATAATTGTACTAAGAAAGGTCAGCTGAACTACTTTTTATAATGGTATGTTTTTCACATTTGCCGATCAGGACAAAGGAACTTCCGTCAGGCCATTGCAGATTCAATGATGACTCAATCACACACACACCCTCTAAATAGAATGAAAGGAGGAGCACAAGATGTATCCAATCAGAGCAAAGCATCAAGCCTTGTGACCTTCATTGGGAACTTACAGTGCTTTCTTGACTCTACTGAGCCGCTGTTATAGCGGCTAATCTGCATTATTTACAAGTGGTGGTATATCTATTTAGAAATTAATGTGAAACAGACCTTTACTGGATATCTGAATGCATAGCAATGCCCTTTACTGAACTGTACCTGCATATTATTCAGGTTATATGTAGAGGCTGTAGACTAATCAGCAGAGAGCAGACTATTGGTCCTTAAATTCACAAGGTGGCGAAAATCTTGTACAAGCAGAATCAAAATTTGGATGAAATACTAACAGTTCGGTGACTTCTTGTTCTTCCTCCCATGCCTCATTGTGTGTGAGCTGACTGCTTCCGGTGCTCTTGCATGTCCAGATGCGCTCATCATACCTCTTCAAGCGTGCCTCATACTCTCTGTAGGCATTTCGTTAAGGAAACTACAATAGTCACGTGAAAACAGTTCTGCCTTTTTGGCTATTTGCCCACTAATTACAAGCAAGACTAACAAACAAGGGGCAAGGTTGACAATTTAGTGTCACTGATGATAGAAATATAAAAATATTGAGGTGGGCACCGTCACAGACATAACTATATCATAACAAAAAAAGAGATGAAACGAAAAAGTTGAAGAATTGTACAATAACAAGGCGAAGCTGGAAAATTGTAAGGGGGGCTGGGAAGGAATAATGATGGTGACAGATGCTGGAAGAGTCCTTGCTACCTTAGCAGTAGGGATGCTCCGATCGATCGGTCACCGATCGAGATCGGCCGATACTCACTCTCTACCGATCGATCGGTGCTCTCTAAACATGCTGATCGCGAGAGCCGATCGCATGACGTAAAATACATGACACTTTTCTCTGTGTGCGGCAAAACAAGCTCGCCAAAATGGCTTCACCGGTCTGGCATTATTTTAAGGTGTCCGAAAAAGACAGTAAAATAGCGGTATGCAACGTGTGTGAAGCAGAAATCCTGCAGCTCCGCCCGCCGGACAGGTAAGCGCAGCAAAACACACACACAGGGAGAACCAGACCGCAGTTCATTTCCTCATATTCCAAACGAGAAATTACGGGAGCAAATCACCCGGTTCTTTACGACCAGAACTATTAACGGGATACAAACCGGAGGAACCAGGCATGGAGGGAGGTGGCAGAGACAGTGGGTGAAACTGGTAGGTTTTCGCCTGTTTGGGGAGTTTATATATATATATATATTGCTCGCATAAAATCCCCGGGTTTTTTTGCTTTGTATGTCGGGGGCGGGAGATTCATGTTGTTGGTCGCGTTGCTCGCCCAGCTCCAAGATTTTTGAAAAGCTGCTGTGTGGACGTACCGTAAGAGTTAGACCTAACACACTTAGCTATTTTATCTACCTCTGGAACAAGCTACACTAGTTATTATAAATATATGTATTCTTCATTGTCGGGTCACTCATTACTGGATCAGTGAGCTGCATGAGATACTGACTGATAAAAACTTGAATAATGTACATCATTTGAATGTAATAATTAAGTTGATTGTTGTTTGTGGAAGCTCCAGTGAATGAGCCCCATTAACTGAGTTTTAAACATCACTTTAAATGGAAGATTTAAAGTGATGTTTAAATCTTCCATTTAGGCCCCGCCCACTCGATCGGATCGGCCGATACTGATTCCGGCGATCGGCCCCGAAATTGGCGATCGGAGCATCCCTACTTAGCAGTGTAAAAAGAGTGTACACTGATATTGGCTTTTGATTGGAGCGAAAGGTTTGACTGTGCTACCTATCGTTATTCAACTAAAAAAGTGAACCTTGTGTTACTATAAGATGGGACAGCCTAGATATGAGGCCTATGCTTCTCATAGCTGTTGTTTAAGAAGTGATGATAGATTGAGATGTTACAGGTACATACATACTTTAGAAAGTAGATAATATAGTCATGTCACTGCAGGAATCTAAACATACCAGAAACTAAAACAACTCAGGTTGCCATAAAAAGGCCTAAAGTCCACTTTAAGTACTGCGTGTCACGTCAAACTGTCATCATTTTTGCTTACAGTTAAGGACCTCTGACGTTCTGAAGTTCACACAAACACCAAAATAAGTGGGTAAAGGTACCCAAATATGTTGCCAAAACCAAGATAAATACATAAGAGCGCTGCTTAAAATCAATAAACAGTTGTATGTCGGCTGTTGTCCTCTCTTGTCAAACTTGAAACCGCAAATGTACCGACAGCTAAGGCTAGCTAAAGCTAACTGAAAGCAGCCGAGCAACATCCTCAGACGACGGGCTATTGTGACATAATGGGACCTAACGTTAGCAGCGTGCTAGCTAACCCGTATAGCATTAGTAGCTGACAGCGGGGTGGTAAAAGTTTAAAGGAAGCATTTTAGCAATTAGTTATAAATAACTAAGAGATGGGAATTGTTAAATGTGTTATACAAAATACAACAAGTGTGCTATAATGAGTTATAGCCAGTTAGCTAGCTACAATGGCTTGATTAGCAAAGCGGGCTGAACATTAGCTGTACACTGTGTACATGCGGAGGAAATCAGCGTTTAAAGAGGGGAAATGTCAGGTACCATCAAATAAATCACGCTAGCCAGCTCTTCAGTCCTGTGCAAATGACTAACATTATGTAATCATAAATTAAGCCAGATAGACAAAGCCACATATTTAAAGCATGCTGGTTGGCTCAATAGGAGCATCATGTTAAAGGATACTCTTTGTTCCTGAAGGCCTCCTTGGTGTGCTCGATGATGTAGACCTCCTCTCCCGGGCCTGGTGGCTCGGCTAGCGGCTTAGCCAGTGGGTAAGGTTTTCGGCCTAAAAGCGGTGCCATTTCAAATCCACAGATGGCACGGGTGCCAACGGTACAATTAAATCTTCTAGCAATAAACTAGTACAATGATATACAATACTATGACCTTAGCATGTATGCAAGTGTCTTGTCTTGTCGGGTTACCGCCGGCAGGCCCGGCACTCAGCGTGTAGCAGCTAGCTGACTAGCTAGCAGGCTGGATTGCTATCTGGTTGCAAAACAATAACAGTGCGCGTCTTGCCATCCGCCTCATCGCATCCTTCTTCTCTCCTCAAGTAGCGGTGCCATGCTGGTTTCAAGCAAAGATGTAAAACAGGTGGCCAGACCTGTCTCTCTCTAGAGTTAGTAAACTTTTAGTTCCTCCGGATGAACATGAAAAGATGCAAGCCGCACCGATATCAAACTCGCGGCAACAGCTAGAGCTCAGTTCAGCAGTAGGTCTGGCGCGCTGTACAATCCCAAGTCTTTGCAACTAACTAGCCCTGAACTCGTCAAAACAACTGTATTTGCTGGATGTTCGTACGGTCGGAACGTCTTGTTATCAGAAAATAATAAGCAAGTGGTGCGAAAAAGTAACGTGGATCGATCAAGAGGTTAATTCCTTGTTGAAATGGCGGGAGTTTCTAGTCCACCGGTACAATTCCGTACACTCTCAGAACTCCGTTTCCCCGGCAGCAGGCAGCGTCGTGAGAACGTCCCGCCCCCACTTGACGCTCATTGGCTCCCTCAGTAGAGCGCCTTCATCGAATTGCTCTCGTGGCCTGTCATTGGCTGGTTTGGCCTGGCTGTCAAACTACACTAGCCCTCGAATCAAACCACGCCCGCATCGAATATAAATCAGACTAGAGGTCAGCTGATGACAATAGATTATGATCTTTTTGACTAATTTATACATAAATCCATTTCAATATGTTGATAATGTATTGGCTGAAAACTGATCAGACATATATTCCTTGTTCAATTATCGAAATCATTTTCTAAACCCTTTGTCTGGGTTCCATTTTGAAAATGTCTGTTTAAACAATAGGCCCTGCCTTTATTAAACAGCACAGTAACCACACGATATTATGGTGAATGCATAGCGACTTTGTAGTAACAATGAACGGATTGATTGGAAATTCATTGGAAAGTAGCATTTATTATGGTTTACAACTGCTTCAGTTATAAACATGGGCAAATTATATCATAAATATTAAGAAAGCATTTTTCTTGCATGTTTTAAGCCAACAAATATCCGTTTAAGAAAGGATGTTGTATTTAATACAAAATGGCACATCTAAACATCAATCTAAAGCTACACATTTAATACATTTTCAAAATGGCATGTAAACCTAAACAACAAAGCAATATGAATTTGAAACATGCAAAAGTGAGGTTCAGCTGCATAAAGAGAAACTGAGAAAAGAGTTAGTTGCCACAAAAGCATGTGAATTAAGAATTTTAAAACATATGCTTTCAGTGGCAGTCACTTGCCACACAAAGTTCGGAAAATCGTCTCCATTCATTTCTGAAATTATTGAAAACGGCATACTTTAGAGACCTTTAAAAGTAAACAAGGATTTCGCAGGAAATCTTTTTTTTCATTTGATTGAATGTAATATTTGCGGAAAATATGTCAAGAGAATTTTAGAATCATTTAGAAGGCGTGGCTAATCTGACAGAGGAAAGGTATCATGTGCATTTTGACAACATTATTCTAAATGAGCTATCTCAGAACAGTATTTTCTCCTGTGCATATCTTCTTTAAAGGGGGTGCTCCTGTTTCATCCAATTCCTCCTGTTGAATTAAAATAAAAAGATGTTAGTAAAATGTCCAGAAGGTTAGAAGCAATACAAGTTAAAAAAACAAAACTTAATTGTTAACACTATGCAACAGACCCCAATGCTTGAAATTGTATTCTTAAAACATTTTTAAGTCTTCCTTGATGCCCTTTTAAAAAAATATACCTGTGTGTCTGGGGTCTTCCGTCTGATGGCTCCTGATGAAAGAAGGTCTTCCTTGATGAGAGTGGGAGGCTCATCAGCCCCCTCCTGTCCTGAATGTACTGGCTCTGCATTAACAAGAAAGGGTGGAAATATATCCTCATGAAAGCTTTGACAGTAAAGGAATCCAGAGACAGCACAGGACCCAACTAGTGTTATTTCAATAAGTATTTCCACAGTTCTACTACTATTACCGCTAGGACTGATACCTTTGTACACTTGTGCCTTTTTAAAATAACAGAATACTGTGTTCAATTCAGTGAAAATATGTCTGAGCGCCATCCACATACCATCTACACTCTCCTGGCCCAGCATGGGTGGCTGAGAGTCTTCAGTTCGGAGGCTGGAGGTGTGTGGAGGGCTGACCTGCTGCGAGCTGGAAGTGCTGCTGCTGTTATCCATTTTAGGCTGGTAAACGTCCGACAAAAAGCTCTGGTTGCTGTTTTCATCTGGGAATGAGAGCACAGTGCTTAAGATCAGGTGACATGGTTTTATTATGTTTTTGTTGGATTTTTGTTTGGTTGTAAAGTATTTAGGCTTTTTGACAGGTCATTATGCATGGGATTGCTCCATCATTTATTTATTTTTTAAATACACACACAAACTCACCAGTGAAATCCAGTAAAGAGTTGGTATTTTCCAGGACCACATCTTTCAGTCCTCGAGCATCTCCACCTGTAGATTTGGTCCTATATATCTGATAACAAGGAGGGGATTGTAAAAATCAGTCTTTTGACTAGATATATAAAAGTGAATCCTTAAAAGCTATGCCATTTTTTTTTTTTACGTGGCAGACACCCACCTGCTTTGTTTCTGTTACTGGCACCCACTTGAATATACGTAAAGATGTGTCTCCGACTGTCACCCATTTCTTCTCCCTGTAGATGAAATTAGTTTTGCTTATTTTCGCAAGGAGCTTTTTTTAGGTCAGCACCATCTGCTTTAGAAAACCATTCATTTGTAACATGACATAACAGGCTTTACATGCTCGTGTCTTCTCTGTCTACAGCAAAAAATGACATCTAATCAAATATCTTATTATGCTAACTAACAGCCCTCGCTTACTTTGCATGGGCGTGAAAATATAATGAGGATTGGTATCATGGTGTTCATTAATGTCACTGTTATGTCTGTGACTACGGGACAGTCGTCTACATTACGGCGCGCAGCGTGTGAGGCTGTGGCCATATTGACAGCTATCGGCGGAAAAAACTCAGCTAGCTCCGCCCCTGCTGTCAAACGGGGGCAATGATTGGTCAGCAGCCCCGTCAATCATCCAACTTTTCCGACTGAAGTTTGTTGAGCGACGCAGCAGATAATCAGGCTACAGTCTAGTGAGTCTACTAATACATTCCCCTCCATATTGTCCCCCGGACAGCCTACATACCATTTGCGCACCTTCTCGATGGCTGCCAGGACCTTTTTAATGTCATCTTTAGCCCGACTTCGGGTCTCTGCACGGCCTGATCGTCCCGACATCTTGATGCTGTTATGATTCATCTACAGATGCATCTGAAAACTTCAAGACCAAGCCCCAGTCCTCCGTTACACTGGTAGTCTCGCGAGATTACAACCTCTCATTTTTAGGGTTATTTTTTGGGCTTCATCCTCGTCAGTACGCTCATACTGTATTTGCTGTAATTATTGGATGGGCAGTCAGAGTTTTTTTAAAATTATATATATATTTTAATTATTTACAGTTCATTACATGCACTCATCTAAAGTGGTGGAATGTTACCAAATACATTTTTACATCACATTTCATTTAATCAAGTAGTGTAGGCTGCTTACTACTATATAAAGTAATTTAAATTAGCCCACCTTTTCCAGCTCGACATTCAGGTAATGATCACTTTATTGCATCGATATTAATAATGAAAATAATATTAATAATAATAATAATAATAAATCAGTAATATATAATTTGTTATTATATATTTTTACCTTTAGTAAAATCACTGCATTCAAATAAAGTATGTATGTATTTACATTGTGATATTGCATAGTGATACTTCCAGTGCACAACAATACTGGGTGCGTACTTGAGTACTTGCTACCTTAATTAATATTACATTATTTTTTAGAGATTCAACAATAATTGTGGTCAATAAAATGTCAAATATAATGTCAAAAATATAACGTTTATGACAACTAGGTCGAAGAGGGTGTTTTCAGTGTCTTGTTTTACCAATACAAAGTCTAAAGTCCAAGAGAGAAGCAGGAAGTCTCCATTTGCCACATGCTTAAAACATAATTTTCTGTAATTTGTTTTGCATTAAAAATATAGTTGTCTTCGATCAATCATCACATCTCTAGAAATCTGCTTCCCTTTAGTTATTTTTAGTTATTTTACAATGCCTCAACAATTTGTTTTATTGTGATGGGTATCATGCATTGCTACACACATTTCCAGCTGGCCCTCCTTTTACTCCTGAGACAAAAGCTTTTATTAAATGTACGTTTTTACTCCTGGTTCCCATGTTTGACCAACAGAGGGCAGCCTTGAGCTGTGCATGGCAAACAGGCTCCTCCATAATCTGAGACTGAACAAAGGTTGAGTCTGTTGCAGTTTTGATTAATTAGTTTAGTTATAGGAAAAATCAATGACAATAATTTATTTATAGCTTGCATATCTTCCAGGTAATACAAGAGAAGGATGTACTTTACATAAACTGATCAGACTGGAGTGTGGTTGACAGTGGTATAGCTTCAGGGTAAAGCCCTTGTAAAAAAAGGATCAGTGACAATAGAGTGTATGTGTAGAATGATAAGCTTAACAATCAATACATTAGAACATACTGTACAGTATCACTGTTCAGATAGGGCTTATTGTGTCACAATTCACTGAAAATTATCAGGGAATTGTGACACAGTGAATCAACAGTATTGTTGCTTGGACAAGTTGTAATAACACTAATCGGGACGCCATAAGGGATCACATTTGTTGATTTTCTGCATTGTGTGGGTTAATGGCAAAATGTGATGTTTATTAAAACATTCAAGGATTTGGCTTGTATGTAACATGCTCCTTACATTGAAGCTGTTTAATTCAGATTTTTTCTTAGTTCATTCTCAAATCTTATTTTATTTATATTGCATTTTCCATCTGTTCCAATTGTGTAATACATTTATTGTGATTCGAAAACAAAAACTTTACATGTTATGGTCTATTCAAACACAAGGCATTCAATTAGATAGTGATAAGCTTAATATATACAAAAACATAATTTATAGGGTACTTTCTATTGGGAAGTAGCTGTCCCCAACCCTGGCATCTACATTTCAATTTCTGTAAATAACACTTAGAATTTTTTTTTAAATGTTGTTCAATGGTGTATTTAGAAGATATTTATGATTATATTCAAACAGAAGTTGGAATATTTAGATTTATTGTGGGTATTATTTTTTATTAAAAAAACTATAATCAAAAAATCATGTCCCCAGTTTTCATGTGACTACCGAAACACAAGGGGTTTTAGTCCAATGTCTGGGCCTGGTTTTTAGCCACACCCCTGCATTTTTGACTATGCAGTGACACTGCATCCCTGTCCCTCATGGCTGAATGGCAAGTAGCTATATCCCATACTTTTGATATAAATCTGTTCAAAAATTTGAAAATCGGCGTGTAACCTTAAAGGTCCCCCATGTCATGGCCATTTCAAAACTAGGGCCAACAGGGTCGGTGGAGGGGGTCTGGAGGACGGGCTTGGGCTGACAGCCCAGGGGCACAGCGGAGTTCAAGGATGGGGTCTCGGGCGGACGGCCCGGGGGCAAGGCAGAGTTCAAAAAGGGGAACTCGGGCGGACGGCCCGGGGGCAAGGCAGAGTCCAAGGTGTGGCGAAGGCCACAGCGGGCAAACTCAGGGGGCCGAACATGAGGGCGAAGGCAGTGGCAGGAAGAGTCAGGGAGCCGGCCCCGAGGGCGAAGGCAGCGGCAGGAAGAGTCAGGGGGCCGGGCCCGAGGGCGAGGACCGCGGCACTCAGGGGGCCGGGCTCGAGGGCGAAGACCAGACAGCTCCGGAGGCCGGGCAGGAAGGCGCTGACGGGACAGCACCGGAGGCCGGGCAGGACCCGGTGTCGGCCGGACAAGAACCGGAGCTGGTGGGACAGGCCTCGGCAGGATCCCCCACGGAAGAGGACCAGGAGTTGGCAGGACCCCCGGCAGGAGAGCAGTCGGTGGGACCCCCAACGGGACAGGACACGGGATTGGCAGGACCCCCGGCAGAAGCGCAGTCGGCGGGACCCCCAACGGGACAGGACATAGGGTTGGCAGGACCCCCGGCAGGAGAGTAGTCGACGGGACCTCCAACGGGACTGGACATGGAGCCGGCAGGACCCCAAGCGGAACCTCCATCGGCACAGGACATAGGGTTGGCAGGAACCCCGGCAGGAGATTAGTCGGCGGGACCCCCAACGGGACAGGACATAGGGTTGGCAGGACCCCCGGCAGGAGTGTAGTCGGCGGGACCTCCAACGGGACTGGACATAGGGTTGGCAGGACCCCCGGCAGGAGAGTAGTCGGCGGGACCCCCAACGGGACAGAACATGGAGTTGGCAGGACCCCCAGCGGAACCTCCAACGGCACTTCAGTAGGGACTTGAATTGGGACTTGAGTAGGAACTTGAGTTGGGACTGGAGAGGGAACTGGAGAGGGGACTCGAGAGGGGACTCGAGAGAGGGGGCTCGAGAGAGAGGACTCGAGAGGGGATTTGAGAGGGAACTCGAGAGGGGACTCGAGAGGGGGCTCGAGAGAGGACTCGAGAGGGGATTTGAGAGGGAACTCGAGAGGTGACTTGAGAGGGAACTCGAGGGATGACTTGAGAGGGGACTTGAGAGGAAACTGGAGAGGGGACTCGAGAGGGAACTGGAGAGGGGTCTTGAGAAGAAACTGGAGAGGGGACTCGAGAGGGGACTCGAGAGGGAACTTGAGATGGGACTAGAGTTGGGATTTGAGAAGGGACTAGAGAAGTGACTAAAGGAGGGACTAGAGGAGTGAAGAGGGACTAGAGGAGAGAGGAGGGACTAGAGGAGGGACTTGAGAAGGGACTAGAGGTGGGACTGGAGAAGGGACTAGAGAAGGGACTAGAGAAGTGACCAGAGGAGAGACTAGGGAAGGGACTAGAGAAGGGACTTGGGAAGGGACTAGAGGGGGAACTCGAGAAGAGCACCTGGAAATCTTCGCTTTGCTCCCCCACAATGCAGTTCGGCGAAAAGCGAGGCAAAGTGACGTCATCCCCATTCAAAGTCAATGGGCAGAGAAGCGTTGGAAGCGTTGGAAGATTTGTTTAAAGCTGCTGTGTGGACGTACCGTTAGTGTGTACGCGTGCGAAGTGCGCCCGCCAATTTGTTTCGGTAGTGACCATTTTTGGTAGAGGAAGAACATTCCAATACAGTCTGAAAATACGATATAAAAATGTACGGTTATTTTTACTAGATATGTCTAATATCTAATGCCTACAAGCTTTGAATGAAAGGCGTGTGTTTTGTGCAGCTTCATTTAAAAAGGAGAGTTTTAAAGACATTTAACAAGTTCTGTCAAGTTCCTGCAATGTATTGCACACATCACTTCTGGTTTTCTTGAGGTCCTCATTAAGAGTTGAAGTGTTTGTATAATATATTCCCTGAGAGTTGCAATTCATCAGCTGTACAAGCTTTGATAAAAACATTAGTGCATGAATAATTATAATCAAAACATATAATATATTATTCTGAAATGGACCAATATGCATAATGAGTAGCCTACTTTTACTGTTGGTACTTTGATAGATAGATAGATAGATAGATAGATAGATAGATACTTAATTTATCCCACATTTGGAACTTATTTTGTCAGGGCAGCATTGTTGTCAAGCTTTACACGAATTAAACATATTTAAAATATACAATAGGCCTAATATAAAATTATAATAAAAATAAACATTAGCAGCAAGTATACAAATTCACAATAGAGAGGACTCACTAGAGTATTTAATTAATACACAATATAACACAAATAATGATTATATTGAATACAATATGCAATCTCACTCAGCTACACAAATATATAGAAACATACTACAGACACAATGGCATTGGATTACATAATTGTGTAAAGTAAATAAATAATACTAAGTAGGCCTACACGATCTGACTACTTCCTTCACCTCTGCCATAAGGAGAGCCATAAGGAGGCCATAAGGAGGCCATTAGGAACTTTATTTTGAAAAGCTGAATGGTCCACTTCCAGTAAGCCTGGTGGGCTTTACGCTGGTTAGGTTCAGAATGCTGTCATTGACTGGGTGTTGGACGGAGAGACCAAATGATCCAGGGAACGGGGCGACGAGTCCAGCACAGCATGGACTGCTGCCCGCCATAGTTAGTTCAGCTTTTATTTTATTTTATTTTTTACAGTTTAGCGTGATTATCGGGTGAACGTTTTAGTTTTGTCTCGCCGTTGTGGAAAAAATACGACAATGGATCGAGTGAAAAGCTCCATGCAGCAAGTACCCAACGCTATCCCCAAAGTGATCCGCCGGACTGGGGCAAACAGCCTGGAGCTG